CGGGATCTCTGTAGCTTAGTTATAATGTGTCAGACCAGGAAATCCAGAGGTCCGATCCTCATGGAAGACTCAGGCATTTTCTTTGCCATATGTTGGTGCAAAATGATAACACCGTTCTTTAATTAAGTGATATTCCTATAAATTTTGCAAACGAACTCTTTGGAAAACGTTTTTAACGTGGTGCATATAGGTTAAGAGTGTACCTTGAAGTTGTCGTGTTCGCCATTGTTCGACTGACTTTCTCTGCAGACTTTCTCTATTGTGAGCAGTTGCGGTTTGAGTTGAGGTTGGAATTGGGGTTTGGGGTTTGGGTTAGGCTTTTGGTTTAGGCTAGGACGAGGGCAAATGTGATGGAACAACGAAAGTGGTAAGTTGTGTCGAGAGCAGATTTCCTTTCGATGATCTTTTGCGAATGAGGTGCCTCAATGTAGCTTTTAAATGAGTATTGCTGTATCCATACACGAAGGGGTTCACAACAGAATTTAAGAAAACCGAGATGCTTAAAAACTGATACACAGGTGCTGTCCAACGAGGCCAATCCAGCTCAGAATTGTACTGCGTTTTCAACCTAAGGCTGAGTCCTAAAATAGGCAGCCACCACTCACCAAAGTAAGATAACAAAAGAAAAACTGTAATAAGCTGCTTGGAAGCCTTTTTAGCTCGGCTATTCGTAGCTAAATTCGCAGGACTAACCCTTGTGTGGCTAATCTGTTTACGGTGACGCCAGGAGAGTTTTAAGATACAACCGTAAATACTGAGCATCACAAGTAAAGGTGCACAGTAATTCAGCAAAAATAGCGGGATAAACAGGTCTATCGGCAGAAAATGAAAGCAGGATGAATGCTTCTGAATTTGTGACCTCTGAAAAGTGTCAGCAGCAAAGACAAAGGCTGATGAACCAAAGGAATATAACCACAGTAATAGAGCTGTTATCCAGACAGTCTTATCATGAATCATGTTGAAGCGGAATGGGTAAATGATCCGAAGAAAACGAGCCACAGACACACTGCAGAAACTTAAAATTGAAGCAGAGGCTGTCACTAGATAAGCAAATGTTCTTAATTTGCATCCGAGCACGCCATATTTCCAAGTTCCTGAGATCAGATGTTGGAGATGAAAAGGCACAACCACAAGAGGAAACAGGATATCTGATACAGCGAGGCTTACCATGAATGGATTGACTGCTTTTCGAATCTCGCGTGAGAAAGTGAAGAGCAGAATAAAACCGCCGTTAATGACCACGCTGCCGAGAATAAGAACGATGTAAATACAAGCCGTCGTGTAATGATACCACTCCATCGTAGGCGAGTATTACAGTTTGAGAGCTGGTCCGATGTTTCTCAATTTCCTGAAGTTAACATCTCTCGCTGGAGGCTGCTGTAGATGGAGGAATCAGGTAACTTAACCAAAATACTCCAGCCCCCTCAGGCGATAAAAAATGACAGGCCCTTAATATGATATAAATACATGTTGGTTTACCATGTGCACCACTGTTTATAACTCAGTAAACGTCAATTTATTTTTTTATGTATTCGTGAATCGCAACTCAGTGTGACTCAGGCTAACACATCCTCTTTTACTTTTGTGTTAAAATGGAACAATTTTTGTTATCTGTAGTGCGGGGAGAATAACATTTATAGTTTTTTCAAAAAGTTGTCACTGACCTTTTCTTATTCTAATCGACAAAGTAACCGAAAAAAACTGCCACTTTATGACATTGTGGACAACGAAACTCAAGCAGCGAAATCGGCATGAAAACGTGAACTGAGCAAGGTCATTCCAAGAAGCTTAAAGTTTGCACTCCAAAGCTGGGTTTTTCATCCTATTAGAGAAGGATTACTTAATTTAACTACTTGTTTCAACATTAAGATTTGTTACCTTCATGTAGGTTGCGAACTTACCTCTTGAATTGAGCTTCGAAGTGAGGCTGACCTGTGAGCATGCAAAGTTTCACAATCTCGTCGTCTTAAAAATTCGTTTGCCGCAACAGCTTCCTAAATAATATACCTATCCTTCTAGTGAGGTTGCAGCTTGCAGGCTGAGCGGAGATTATGGACAAAGAAATCATTTCACGGGCAAGGGATGTTTTTGAAAATTTGGATCGGATCCATCCTTCAGATTTTCCGTTAATAGTTCTAGGTCGATCGAATGTATTCTTGAAGCTAATTTATTCACACAACATTTATAGTAACGTCTCCAGCTTTAAGACCAGGTCCCGGTTTTTCGAAGGTTGGATAACGCTATCAGCTGAATAAATCTCTATCCGGTGGATAATTTAGCATGTTTTGATATCATTTATCTGCTGGATAGCGATTTATCCGTTGGATAACGCTATCCGACCTTTATACAATTAGGCCCAGAAGAAAAATCTGTGGTCATTTAATTTTCTCGGGCGATAAACAAAATATTAAAAAAAATGACACTTTCGCTACAAACGGAACATCACATTGTGTTCGGTTCCGACAGATGGCGATCGACGAAAAGGGTATTCTGACCAAAACGTTGCCTGTTTTTGTCGCGTTTGAATGAAATTAGTGGAGGTTGTGAAAAGATAGTATCAGCCTCTGAATCGTTTCGAAGTAATTTAAAGTTCTTAAGAATAATAGATTTAACTACGTGGTTGAGAGGGTGAAATGTGGGAGTGAATGGAGTGCGATCAGTATTTTCCTTCTGAGCCGTTTGTGGTGCTGACTGTCGATCAATTTGTTGGGCGCGGTGGTGGCCCGCTTGAACGACATAAACAAGATAGCCACGTTTATTTAAAAATTAGCACATTACCTCTAATTTTCCGGAAAAATTAGAGTCGTCACTACATAAACGACAAAGTCTGAGAAACTGTGAAAAAAGTATGGAATTCTTGACGTGTGATCAGATGCAAAGATGAGTACAACAAGTAACTAAGTGAATCTGTAGGTTTGTAGTAAACACTAGTGCATAGACCGTTGCCTTGTCTAAAAAAGCCAAAAAAGTGCCGGGAAATTTCCAGGTATATTTCAGAGCCGGGTGAAAGGAATTGACGGCGGTTTTAAATTGAGTGAGCTCCTCTCTGGTAGAGGAGGTATAGTGCCGATGCAGTCATCAATGAGCGACCGTAGAGTTCAGGTTTGGGGCCGTTGTATTGACCAAAAAACTGGTGTTTAATAAAATCTACGAAAAGATTGGTGGAGCTGGGTCCCATTTTAGTACCCATGGCTACACCATTAGTTTGTTTGTAGTAGCTGCCAACGAATGAAAAGCAATTGAGCGTTAGGACTGGTTCGGCTAGACAGAGTAGTGTTTCAGAGCTAGATTCCTTGATAGTGCGTTGATCAGAAAAAAGGTTTGAGGGCCTGGAGACCTTTGTCATTGGGAATGACAGTATAAAGAGATGTAACATCCATAGTGAAAATAAGTTTGTTTTGGCCAAGGAAATTTAAGTCGCGAAAAATCGCCAAACAAGCACGCATCCAAACCAGTCGCTAGATAATTTAATCTCTATAATCACTCTAAACAGCATATGGCAGTGTGTAGCCTTTCCCTACATCTAGGCAGTTCGGAAAGCCGCAAAACTCGAGAACAAATTTATCTTTAAAATCGACACTCTTGATCCTCACGGTATCGCTTTAAAAAGACATTTACAACCCATAATTCCTCCGACCACTCTGACTAAGGGCTAACGCTTTTTAAAGAAACTATGTAATTTAGCATTATCAACTGAGTTGATAACGTAAATTGGCCACCGTAAAGAGTTTAAAAGCTGACGTTTCGAGCGTTAGTCCTTTCGTCAGAGTGATTGGATCCGATCTTTATCGGCTTAAAAAATAGCAGTTACATTGTTTATTTTTTTTAAGACATTCAAAAAGCTCTTAAAGAATCCTTCGAAATGTCTAGGATTTTTTGAGAATTTTCCTTACGAGCTCTAAGTGATTTTAACCAAGGCAATAACCTGAACATTCTCATGAAAAAACTGAAGGAAAATGTCGGATGCAAGGGAATTTTCTCAAAATTGAAATGCAAACTTTTAAACTTGAGAACTGGCATTTGAAAATAGGAAACTTTGACAATCAAACGTACTTAGATTACTTCAAATTTCTTATGCGAAGATGTTTAACGCACCGTAAGAAACACCGATTCCTAATCTGAAAACGTGCAGTTTTAAATGTCAGAACTGACGTTTAAAAACTTCGATTTTAAAACTAAAAAAGTTAAGTTTTCAGCGTAAGAACTGACATTGGAAAATACAAACACTTAGCATTACAAATGTCCCGTCGCTTAAGACTTTATGAAAGTAAAGCTGCATTGATATCGAGGCAAATTAATTATAACTGAATTAAATTTAGCGATTGATTGGCAAAACTACAACCCGACGTGTGGATACGTCAATCACTGATTTTCCCTAGTTAAATGGTATGTCACAATTGAGAAAGAGAAATTATTAGCGCAGGTTGAAAATTTGAATTATTTTTTTTCCTTTTGTCTTATTTTTAATTTGTCTGTTTCAGAAAAATCTTTCCGTCGGAAATTCATTAAGTGGAATAGCATAAACCTTTTCCGCATAAATTTATCTTAGATAAGATCGATAGAATCTTAGCGCATTTAAGATCAAAACGTAGGAGTTTGTGTATGGTTTCGTATTCAGTATTTTCAGCATACATGGCTCGAAATAAAATAAAATTGACTGCCATTAAACAGTGAATAATTCATGATTTGCGGTCGTTCTTAGAGGCAGTAAATTTATGTAGAGAATCAAGACTAGTCAAACACTAGACTTACTCGTGATCCTTCGCCTAATCTTGCTTTAAATGTGAAATCGATCCTTGCTGACTTATCTAAAATTTAAAGTAGTAACCACCCTCCAAAGACATTATTGTATTAAAAAATCGATGCTGAACTTAAATTATGTCGAACTTCCCCTACCGACGAAATCGACTAAGTTTCCAAACAGGTCAAATCTTTTTATACTTGTCAATGTGTTTTCCCCACCTAGAAACCACATAAAAATTTTCGACTTACAGCTGAAATACAGGGACCGGAGGTAAACATTTTAATGGAAAACAAGACCAACAAATTATCCTTCACGTAAATAAAAAAGCTAAGTGTCATTATTTAGGTCAGTTCATAACAAAACTGATTTATTTTTTTCTTTTAATTTCCAAAAACATCTCACCCATTTAACTTCGTCAATCCAACAGCAGAATTCCTGCTGGTAAATCTATTTACAATTTTTTTGGCTTTGAACATTTTCACCATAACATGCAGAGTTCCTCCATTGTTTGGCGAAGTAAATTATCTCGAATTATATCGACAGCTTTTTTCAACGATGGATCAATCTCGACACACAGTGCAACTCGCCGAGCGCTTTGCTTACTTGCCAGGAATTCAACAGCCTCTTTACTCAGCTCTAGTCTTTCCAATTCATGCACAACCTCACACGATGTAACTTCAACATCTTCGTTAGAAACGCTCGGCAATGTCTCCTCGTGATTATAATGATCCCCCTGTTTTTCAGGAACTGCACCAAACGTTTCCATAGTAGGCCGTTCGATTCGACTCTCGAACGTTCCTTGTGTGTCGTTACCATGGTCTTGTCTTGTAGCGTTATTTCTCGCTGTAATCCGTTGGTTTTCGGCGAGTCTAGTTTTCGATGAAGGAGACAGTCCGCTGTCTGAGCGTTTTCTCTGTAATGAACTTCTCCTCGGACCGTTTATTTTGTCTTGGTCGGATTTTAAGATACTCCGAGAAGTATGCCACACATTTGTCTGTCCAATAGGAGGAAGAACTTTGTAAGAATTCGGATAATTGGTCGGTGCTTTCTCTACGTGTTTTACTGTAAGGCGAGGACTCTTCGTTTTCTGTGGTCGTGGTACTGTTCCATTCGTGGTTTTCGAATTCTGAGCCTTGAGAATTTTTGGGAAAGATGTATTCCCGTTTGTGTTTGATGTCGTAGAAATCGTTGACGAATTTCCTATGCTTCGACCAACGAGAAGTTCATTTTTTATAATTGGCGGTAATTTTACCGCTCGGCTGTTTAGATCAAATTGCGGGAAACTTCTCGGATAAGACTGGAATTCGGCTTCCTGTTTCGCCGGCCTTGAGGCACGAATTTGCCGCCCTGAGTATAAATGCGCCATCACTTGATGTTAATGTAATGTAAATACACTATGCTGACATAACGTTCCCTGATACGCGATCCCAGTCAGCGATCAAACTTCAACGCATCGAACATCAATTTCGTATCTGCCGGAATTAACAGCAAGCTACGCAGGTGCTTCGCTGGAAAACTGTATCCTCAGTGCTTTCCGAATTTTAATTGCAAAATACTTGATTCATCTGAAAGAATCAAAGATGTCTTTGGCGGAAAAGAAGTGTATCGTCAAGGTAGTGCATATATATATCGGAATCAATACTTTGATGAAGAGGTTTCAAGGATCTTAATGAAAGAAAATTTGACATATATGTGGTGAACTGTTCAGTTGACATATATTTAATTTCAGAGCCAGGAAAAAAAAATACCAAAAAATTACAGGTGTTTTCTATCATCCAGCTCCGGCCTAACGTTGGCATGGTAACGTCGTGTCTATTGGAGAGGTTAAGTGGCAACTCGCTCTTCCTCGGGAGCAATTGTAGAAAGCAGGAACACTTTACCTTAATGAGTGAAATACATTACCGTAAGCAAATTTAAAAAACGCATTAGCTCAGACATTCGCGTTTGGGTTAAAAATGGTGGTGAAGATGGGAAAAAAAGAACACGCTATATTCCTACAGAAAGTTTCCACGAAGCCACTGAAATTACTTTTTTAACTGAAATAACGTTTTTTACTCGGGATGATCTTGATTTAAACTCGGAAAAAACCGTCGCAAACATAAAGACAATTTGCGCTATGGAAATTGCAACCATATTCTGAGAGGAAGTCATTAAATGGGCAATTTGTAGCTCGGTGTTAAACTGGAGTATAGCATCAAAGCCTTGTATTCATTTTCTACTGTTTTATCGATGTTGGTGTTAATTTAGAGAATTTATTAATTCATGTTCAACTTTACTGATGTTTTAAAGCCGGGATGTGCATGAAATTCAGAGCGTACTTATTCTTAACCCAGTTTAAAATAAATCCTCATAAGTATGCACTTTTGCATGTTTTTCTATTGCTCAAGCAACTAATTCCGCTCTTTCCCTTTCCTTTTAATTCTCACTTTGCAAAAACAAAAAACAAAAAAAGGAAGAGGGCATTTGTTGATAATTACGTTGCGATTCAAAACCCATTTGATAGTGAATTTTTTTTTCCCCAAAAGCTTAATGTTGACATGTCAATGGAGATGAGGCCCATTTCCAACCCTTTCGCTCGTCGTATTGACTCAATAAATAAATAAATTTCGACATTTAGCACGAAAGTGGCTCGACGTTTGAATCCGACATCGCGCCAAAATTGGGTAACCCGACAAGCAGAGTCGCGCCATCCGAGTCCAACGCGAAGTCTGAATCAAACTCGTGCTTCTGTCGTGCTACAGCCGAACCTACTGCAATTAAGTTCGGCACGGCAGAAGTACGAGTGACCAGTATATTTCATCTCTTAAGGTCTCTTACTGCTGTGACCGAATTTCCATTTAAGTTTGTTCCATTCTTTATTAACTATTCTGTATGACTAAAAATTTAATAAATAAAATAAATAAAACAAACTGAATTATTTTTACATACAGATATGTAAAAATCACGTATACACTTTCCTTACCTATTCCGAGCCACACAGTAAAATTTTATCAACATAGGTTTTTTTTGGGAAATTTACCGAAGCTCATTTAATGTTACAGTTCTCTAATGAAGTTACAGAGTCTCCAATGAAAATTCAGGGCAAAGACCGCCAAAAAAACCCTCCCCTTAACATTGTGCGCACAGGTTTTCGAGACATTTTAAAACACCCAGCTATATAACATAGACACGTAAATCTCTGATTTAACACCAGTTACACTCGATCAACCTAATTTGACCTAGAGCCTAGTTGGTTTAAAAGTTAATTCTAATATCTACACCATACATTGTATGCGGAATTATTGGAAATATTTAACAGTAAGATGACAAAATTGTTTATTAAACCATTACACGAAAGAAAAACTATATTTACAACGAACGTCAGTTTTGACTCAAATTATTTATATAATTGACTCATTTACTTGCTACTTATACAGTTTATGAACAGTGTTGATCAACATGAAAAAACTCTCCAGGAATGGTATGTTCTTTCGTATCAGGTCAAATATTACAAATTCAACACCAACACGAGTCCACAAAGCGAACATAAAAGACCTTATTGACATTCTCCTCTACGCGTGACCTCCTCCATATCTATAAAGAAGAAATGAAAATGTTTTATGCTGATACGTGGAGAAAATAAATTGTTTATTGAAATTACTGTAGAACTCCACCAAAGAGCTTTACGATTGAGAGTCGTGCGACCTAAACTAAAGAAATTAAAACAGTCAATGAGATCTCGAAATAAAAACAAGCGAACCCCCTGAAGCGCGGAAATACTCGTTACGTCGAGTCACAAACGTTTGAGAAGGCGGCGCGAGTTTCCTAGACCATGCCTTATGATTGGTTCAAAGAAAAACTCGCGCTACGTTCTCAACCAATCAGAGCTAAAACTAAACGCGCCTTGGTGCGTTTTCCCGCGTTTAAGGCAATTTTTACTTCGAGTTCTCATTGACTTATCGCGATATTTTCCTTTATTTTGATTGGCCGTTCTGATAACTCGATTGAAATACCCTCTATTAAATTTTTGTCCCCTGAACAAAAGGCCAATCATTCGCATATTTTGCAAGCCTGTTTATGACGGAAATAAAACTCACTTTACACTCCAGTTCGTTCGATTGTGCACTCCGCCGTAGCGGGCGGGCTGGGTTCGATTGGTTGTCGTAGCCCCGGGAGGCTGGTAAATAGATGTGCCACTTCCTTGCTTGGTCAGCGGTGGTGGCTTCCACGTAGAAGCACTGAAAACTGAAAAGAAACGAATGAGAATAAAAATATGAGTTAAAAGAAACATAAGTAAAAAACTCGATCAATAAGTATTAATATACATGAATACGCCCCTATTGGAGATTTTCCGGGAGATTATATCCTGTGTAAAGCCACCACCTCCCCTCAAAGAAAAAGTCACAGACCTCCCAATCTGAGGGCGGGATCGGCTGCATAAAGGTTGAGAAAATTACTAACCTCCTACACCTCCAGCTCTGGTTTGTCCACCCCCGGCAAAGGATGGAACATATGTAGTACCTCCTACGGCATTCCCCGTCATTCCGTAGGAAGGTTTCCTTGGATACGTGGATGCCGCCGGATTATGAAGCACCCGGGGCTGATTGGTTGTTGTTTGACCAGGAAAATATCTGGCTTGTTTCATGTAGTGCTGTTTTGCACTGGGAGGGGTCTTCTTAGCGACACCCGAATCCCTCCGGACACTGACAAATGAGAAATTTGAGAGAGAAAAGTTAGAATTTTTCTAAAACCTTTCGATACCTCGTCTATAATTTTTTTTTCTAATTGTTGCAAAATTTAAGTCTGTTAATTTTCTTATGTTTCCTTTAAGATTTGGTGCGCGTCTGGCCAAAATCGACCCATTTGCGCATGCCCAACGTTTGACCGCTGTGTTGTTCAAAGAGGGAAAAAGAAGAAACGGAAGGCCAAGTTTAACGCGGGCTTAATTACACTATTATTGCGCAAATGTTTCCAGAGGCTTAACTCCGCAGGCTAGCACTGAAGCGCGAACTTTCTCACGTAGGCAAAGAGGCGTTCAATTAAATTACAAATTTCGACAAACATATGAAGAACTGACCTGGAAAAGGAGTCAAGGGGGTCTGTCTTTTGAACAGCTACCTACAAGAGCAAAGTAAAAAGACATTGACATTATTACTGGGATACCTGTGGTAGCCCAGTCATAAAACGCCTTTGTTTTTTAGTCGTCTTTTTTTTTTTTTCCTCCGCCACAAAATGGAAAAATTGCGTAATAGTACCCAGTAGTCATTGGGCCCTTAACACCATGACAACTAACTGTTATCTTGATGATGATTGACGTTGTCATGCACGGACAGGACCGGGTCACACGACGAAACACGAGATTTTTGTCTATAAAACTCTTATGTCAGCCATTTTTAATTTGTTCTGGGATCGTTGTTTTGGTGATGGAGGTGCAACGTTTTTAGTTTACGATTACCTGGAGCTTTATGGTGCAAACGCTCAAAATACTTACAGACGCACGCACAAGTCGTATTGTTCGAGGCCAATCCACACTAAAAAATGTTATTGTGCGGTATTTTTGGAACGGATTGAGTCGCGAACGCTTGAAAGTCAGGAAAGCCTTGTACAACTTTAAAGCCATGAAAGCCTTGTATGCTTTGTATGCTAAGTATGCCAATGTCTTAGTAGAATAACATACACTTGTTGAAAAAAGCAAAATCTTAAATCTGAAACCAAACTGCATATACTCTATGCAATCTATTGAACAACTTTACTACCGTGAGACTGAAGAACAAAACTCTATTGGATGCAAATTACTTGTGAAGAAAGACGCCAATTTGGATTCACTTGATGCTAAGCAACGTAGCTACGATAACAGTACGAATGGTATTAATTTCACGATCTGAAAGGTGAATCTTATGTTTGTTTTCATTGTAGTTGTATGGATATTCTTTTTTAATAAACACATGATCCAAAATCCTGTGTTTTTTGTGTACAAAAACGTAAGAGAGCACAATGGTTTATTTTGCTAAATTTTGCACAAAAACAAAAAAGAGCAGAATTGTATAAGTCATTGAATCCTGAAGAAAAAGAAAAACTTTTGTGTGGTAGAGCAGAATGGTATAAAACACTGGATCCTGCAGACAAAGATAAGATCATATCACAAATCCAAGCCAATAAGGAAGTCCATAGAAACTCAGTTCAATGTGATTTAGTACATTAGTTCAACACCCGTAGTATCACTACACTTGATCCCAACAATCCAGTACCATCCAGGTATCCCAGTTATCCTGCTCACAGGGTCTAGTCATAACTCGATTTCATACGTTTAGTACCGCCTAAAATTGACTAAATCGAAAAGAATTCTCCCTAAATACATATGATGTATGTATACTAAGTTAATTTCATGACAGATGTTCCAATTTGGGTCATCATTAGCCTCATCACAGCCAACCTCTTCCCTGGACTGGTGCTCAGATGCAATACAATATTTTTTAATCTCTCCTCACAAAAAATTTCAAAGTTAGCTAACCCAATCAATTCCAGACCTGCTGCAGAGTAAAAAAACAATGGTCCATTTCACAGTTGCATGCTTGGTTGCCAAGCCTTTGAACAGGAGTGAGGCTAAGGGTGACCTTGTTCTGATAAAAACGTTTCTGCTTTCCAAATGTAAATTACTTTGTTATCATACTGACTAGATACTAGTCTCTATCACAACAAGGTCACCTTCAGCCTCACTACAAGTCAAAGGTTTGGCGACTGAATACACAACTGTAAAATGAGCTATTCATTTTGCCAAGCTTACATATATTGACGACAAAACCCTGTTCTGACCTTAAAAACTGGGCTTACACCTTTCAATTTCACAGTCGCACATGCAGACTATAAACCCTTAACCCCTTAACTCCCAGAGGTGATTAACCTGTAACTTCTTCTTTTAACATCCATACTCTACCCAGCAAACAGGTGATGAGAAAACCCAAACTTATCAGGCAGAAGTTGTTATCTTGATCTGACACCACATTCTCTAAACTGATTTACTAAGAAATGTGTAGCAGCTAGAGGGGAGAATTAACAATCAGATCTTTGGAGTTATAGGACTGAGATATAATAATTTTTACCAACCTTCTTCGTGGCAGATCCATGACTTGTGTCAATCTCACTGAGCAGTGATTCAAACTCATCAACACTATCTTTCACCCCAGTCCCTTCTCCCCATCTCTTCCGAGCACTCCCATAGCCACTGGCATGGCCTTGAACATTGACAGCAGCCCTTTTGTTCTCATTACCACTTCCAAAATTAAATGAATCCTTTCTTTCCACTTGTGGTGCCTGTCTTTGTTGTTGCGCTTGTGGTTGTGGTTGTGGTTGGGGTGGCTGTCTTTGCTGAAGAGGTTGTGTTGGTTGGGAGGGCTTAGGTAAGTTCTGGCCAACTTGAAAGTAGGGGTATCTAAGAGCCTGTGCACATGTAGGTCGCTTCTTGGGATCCCACATCATCATGTCCCTCATAAGTTGAATGGCTTCAGGGCTTGCATTTGGTATCAAGTCTTTTAATGCTGTTGGCATCTAAGTTAACAAAATTTTGTGGATGTTTGGCATCAATAGCCTCTTTCAGAAAAGGCTGCTGATAGTCTAAAAGATGGCTGTGCCATAAGGCAGGATCCAGACACAAGATCCTGCTAGCAGGCTTAACCCTACTTAAGAGTCCATTTAACCCTTTCATTTCCAAGATCTCTTAGTAATTCTTCTTACAGTCTGCCATACATTGCTTATAATTTTAGTTTGGAGAATTTGGTATTGAATCAAATGATAATCCACTATTTGATATTTTTCTACCTTCTCATCACTTGTCTATGTGAGATTGTATTAGTATTGTAAGGAGAAATTCTGTCTTGGTCATGACTGGGAATGAAAGGGTTAACAGACAGCAGTGAGGGGTCTTAAAGGCGATAGTAGACTGCTAGTAACCATTGTTCATTGACACCCTTTTTATTTTAGGAAACAATCTCATATGGTGTTACCCACCAATAATTTCTCTACCACACAATCAGAAGGTATGAACTTCAATTCTTATGGGGACCCATAAAAAACTTTTTGTCACATGTGCATGGGAGATGATGCACATTTTTCCTTATGTTAAAAAATTTTTAACGTGGCCTGTAACATTCTCCATACAAGTTAAGAAAGTTCCTTATACAACTAAACAGATACCATACCAAATCACTGGAGTTTCTATTTATGCCAAAAAAAACTAACCACTTGCATAAACTTGAAATTCATAGCCGCTGCCAGCTTGTGACCTTCTGGCCAGTCTTCCTGACAAAGAAAATATAAGAAAATATAAGAAAAATTATTATCATAAGAACTGAAACAATTACTAGCCAAAGTAAACTTTAAATTATTGTTTTAGATGCATATCCATCACCAGGAAGATGCTCCAAGCGGTGTTCTCCTTTTCAGGCAGTAACCGGTAACATTTACAGCCTGTAGTACCTCTTAATACCGTGTAAAACTGAATGGAATTCATGAAAATTTGACTAGTAAAAGGATTGCTTTACTGGTTTGAAAATTTATTTTACCTGTCATGCTTAAAATAAGGGAGAAAACTGTCCAAGAGGCTTAAAATATAACTATGTAGACTACATAGCATAAAAAATCATGACATTTTTTATCTGGCAAGGAGGCATTTCTGACAGGCCTGTTGAAATTTCAACAGCATGCTTTTTAGATCTTCAATATTCTGCAAATAATTTACATATTTTTTTTGGCAAGGAGGCATTTCTGACATGCTTGTTGAAATTTCACAGCATGCTCTCTAGATCTTAAATATCCTGTAGTTAATTTATATTTCACAATGCCAAACACCTCACATACACAAGGCAATAAAATGACAGTATGATGACTCTTTTTATCAACAATGATTATAATTTTTCTTACAATGAAGTCATTGTAAATATAAAAAGTTATTTAGTAGACAAGCTTAAGTATAATCAATGCAAGAAATTGCCTGCCTCTTAAATATTCCTGCTCTAGCAGGATGCATGTGGCCATTTTATGCATCACTAACAACAAATTTTGGGAATAACAAATAATTCTGTAAGCTACAAGTATATTTGTTTAAATTTGCCTTCTGTTTGCCTAGTAGTGGCACAATTATTGTTGGGCCAACAGTGTCAAGCTGTCAACAGTATCTAATGTACAAGTGTGTGAAAACTAACCTTTGATGGTGTGCCAAGAACTTTGCATATCTTGAAAATCTCATCAACTTCACTACTGCCAGGAAAAAGAGGCCGGAGAGTGTAAAGCTCTGCCATGATACACCCCACAGCCCACATATCAATTGGTGAACTGTAATTTGTTGAGCGTAGCAACACCTCAGGTGCGCGATACCTGTCAGATAAAAAATAGAACTTAGGTGCTTACAACATATTAGAAAATTGAAGATGGATAATTACATTATTGACTGAATGGGAGGGCCAGATGGGAAAATATTTGGCTCAAGGTCATAACGTACCAGCCGAACACATTGAAGTCCATGTGTCTTGACAGAGAGCCAATTCTTTCCTGTTTGGACTAACCCAATTCAAGGCTGATTAGCCTTTACTGCCCCAGTTTACACCACTGCATGCACCCTCATATATGGATTTTTATCCAGTGATATTTGTCTGAATAATAACCTTTCCTAACAAAGATCTCAGAATACTACCCAAAGTGAAAAAGAAATTTGAGTCTTCAACGATATCATTATCAACTTAATAGTATTAGAAAAATTTTGCTGTTTGTAGCTATTGTAACTCTTACCATCTTGTAGAGACATAATCTGTGTAAGGAGGACGCGATCTGATTTCTCTTGCTAGGCCAAAATCAGCAATCTTCACAAGCTCTGGTCCAGTACACAGCAAGTTTTCAGGTTTCATGTCTCGATGAAAGAACCCTGTGTGATTCGAAGCAATACATAGATTATTTAATAAAATACAGCTCATACATTTTTTTAGCTTTTGTTTGTTATATCTTTAAATAGCAAATTTGATTTAATGTTAAATGGAGTAAATAATTACATTTCTCACTTTCTCTTGATTGAAATAATAGACTTGATTTAAACAAATTTTCCACATCTCTTCACCCTTTAACTCCTAAAGTCTGACTGTTAATTCTCACCTCTAGCTGCAACACATTTCCTGATAAATTAGTTATGAGAATTTGGTCCTCAAAGAAAATAAAAACTCCTCCCTGATAAATTTGATTATTCTCATTGTCTGTTTGCTGGATAATGTATAGATATTAAAGGGGGAACTTACATTTTAATCATTTGTGGGAGTTAAAGGGTTAAAAGAGACATTTAACCCTTTAACTCCCAAGATCTAATTAGTAATTCTCCTTACTGTCTGCCATATAATTCTTATGTGAATTTTGGAGAATTTAGTATTGGATCATGAACTACCAATCCCCTAATTGATATTTTTCTTTATTCTCTTCAGTTGTCTGCTTGATATTGTATTAATATTGCAAGGAGAAATTCCATTTTAGGCACTCATGGGAGGTAAAGGGTTAAGGTTCATACTTACTCTGAACACCAAAGATTTTGGTTAAGTTTCCCTAACCCTTGAAATTCAAATGAGTTGTTATGTTCAGTCTGAACCTAGAGAGTGCTCAGACAAAACTTTGATATATAACATCACTTATGCATTGTACATCTCCAAGTGATGTAAAATTTGCATCAGACAGAAAAAGCATCTCAGCTCTCAACCATTAATAGCCCCATCTTACCATGTTTGTGTATGAAGGCAAGGCCTTGAAGAACTTGATAAATGATATTCCTAATCATAGATTCTGGAATCAATTTATCCCTGAAAAAAAAAATGTAATGACAATTGAAACAACAAACCTTTAAAATGTAGTAAATATCACAATGAGTAGGTCTCCATTTAACCCCTTCACTTCCAAGATCTCTTAAGTAATTCTCCATACTGTCTGCCATACAATGCTTATAATTTAAGCTCTTAAGAATTTAGTATCAGATCAAACAAAAATCTCATAATTGATATTTTTCTATATTCTCATTATTTGTCTGCTGATTTTATATGGATATTATAGGGAGAAAGTATGTCTTGATCACTGCTTAGAGGGGAGAGTTAATGTCAATTTTCACATTATAGTTATATTTTTACCTGCTTTTCATCATCTGATATAGATTCTCTTTCATGTACTCAAAAACAAAATATAACTGGTCATTTTCTCTTATAACTTCCTTCAGCTTCACCACATTTGCATGGTTTAATTTCTTTAGTGACTAGAAAAAAAAAAAGTATAACAATGATTACCATTCACTAAAAATGTCCACATAATTTGGCACATTAATGTTTTCACTAGGCATATTGAATTTATTAGCAATGTCTAACTAGCAATAACAGTCTCCAGTTTGAAATCAGTGTCTCAGTATTGCATTTGCTTACAATGAAGTATTAAAAACAGCAAGATATATATTAAAATTACTAGTAAAAACTATGTTTATTTCTACAGCTCAGATCAAACATTTAATTTCACCGCATAAAATCCAAAAACTTCATGTCACCACAAGAATAGTAGTTTTTAAGACAATGACAAATTCCTTCCTTCTTCAACCTAACTTTGCATAAAGCACATGGACCTTGCCACCCTTGCTTTTCCTTTTTAACAAGAATTAAAAGTCAGTCAACCAGATCAAGGTTGTTTCCTTGGCTGAACAATTGAAGACAAAATTTCTGCACAGCCTCATACTTCATTATGCTTACAGTTCTTGGATAAAGAAAACAATGATGCGGAAAATAGATTATCTTTGTTTTAGAACAACATGGGGTTATACAGAAATCTTTTCCGATTGATTTTAAGGGGAACTGGGTAACAATGAATTGTGTAGGCTACACACACCTATATGCAAATGCTATTTATCAGACAATCTTTAGGTGCAAATGATAATCTCTTAATTATGACAGATTATCCCTTGCGCTGGGCTGTGCATTCTAAAGGCTAGAGAATTTTTATTTCACAGTTCACCAACGAGTAAATACAATATACCTGATACGTCTAATAATAAATATCACACCTAGAAAAATATGGTTAAACCTCCTCAGTTTATCACGGAACAAAGTGACTCCTTTTGAAACTGAGACGTCCATATCTTTCCAAATTAAATCCAGAAGGCCTAATAAAGTGATAAACCTACCTTAACTTCGCGGAGATTTATACATTCTTCCCATGAATAATACTTCTTTTTCATTCTGAAAAATTAAAACAACAATTGGTTTTACGGAAGCCAATTAACAAAGTGCTAAAGTGTTAAAAATTTCAATAATCCTCCATCGCGTAAGTATGAATTGAAGGCCACGCACGGATGAAATCTGAGCTTACATTTTAATTGCAACTGTCTCTCCTGTGTCATGATTTCTTGCTAACACAACTGATCCATAAGTTCCATCCCCGAGCGTCTTTAAGTTCTGGTAGCGTTTCATCTTTGCCAAAATTTACGCTCTTTTCAAAACACAAATAAGAACAATATCTCGTCGAAAATAGCTCTCAATACTGCAAAGCGGCTTGTTCATATGTTTTCTTCTCTTTTTCCGCATATGCACGGCCTCGAATTCGCCATCCAAGCGAGCCAAAACTGTTATCTCGCTGCTATGTCCACAATCCAACAGAAAATTCAAGATCGGGGTTCCTTCTTGAAGAAATCTAAGTAAACACAGCTACTCGCATTCTGTGCTCTTCCCTGTTCGCTTCTTAGGCAACACAGATTGTAAACAGATCAAACACTGCATTTAAAGAATCATTTACGAGACATTCACTCTCCAGATTTTGCCACCGAAAAATGCTTCGATCACTCAACAAGATACAGACGTTCACGGGAAATAAATGACTTCAATGATAAAAGCAGGCGACTTCGGTTAGAATTATCAATGCTCGTGTTCTTTACAAATTTCATGTAGCTTATGCAAAATGCCGCTTCCCATGAAGCAAAGCAGTCGATCTGTTTCCTGGCAACGAACTACAACAAAAACCTACACAAATCCACTACGTCATTTCACATCTGTCGAAGATTAGGGTATGAACTTAATGTAAACAAAATTTCTTGCATTTCCGGTAAAAGTCTTCTAAATATACGCTTTATTTAGCAATTTTTGTGTGACCTTATTCTTAAAACATCAAATTTGAAAATAAAGTAACAGTTTAGCCTTTAGGTGTCTAGAGAGGTTGTCTCTAGGTAACATTAATTATTAAAAAAACAGTTAAATAACCAAACATCGGTCTAGATTGATGTATAAATGAATAATTTATAATGTTCAGGGATTATGGATAAGAATGCGTGATTGCAGAGAAACGTGGGTCGTGTGTAGCGATCAGGCTGGAAAACTTGGCTTTATTGGCACTTTAGACGAGGTCGAGTCTCCAAACCATTTTCTTTTTTTGATATTTTTTTAAGCCTTTTTGGGGAATTTTCAGCTATTTTGAGCAAAGTGTTGATTTATTCCTCTGATAATGGCAATGCTTTCTGTACTGATTTAAAACTGATATACGCAAGACCAGAGAAAGTATTTCTTCCACATTTCAGTGTATAAGACAAGAGCCCATTTTAAAAGGCTCCTGTATAACACCAGTATGTCTGTTATGAAAAAACATTGGAGAGACGGAACTGCCCAATACTGAATTGCAAATGGCCAAGATTCGCGTGCACAACTTGTTTCAACAAAATGGTTCAAAGAATAAAATCTATATGTTTCTAAATAAATTTTTTATCTAGGCTCTCACTTTAATTTACCACAAAAAAATCTCCAAACAAGTAAATGTAAGTCAGGACCGTTCGGCCTTCTAAACAGGTCTCTTGGTAAGGATATGGAAACATTTATCTCCCCTTTTTCAGTAACTGAACTTCTCTTAAGCATGCTTAAAACAATGGTAACATATTTACAAAATTACATGCCATTTGCACATTTACACAAGAGTTTAATGCAGTTTTTAGTCCCTTCTCACTGGACACTTCTCTCAATTTAATTTCTAAGTTAGATATTAGCTGGGGACCAGTCGTTATTTCCGCTTGAAGGAGGGGGGATGGAGGATTTTGGTTGTACCACGATAATATTTACCTGATCATCCTAAAGCATTCATTAAGCCTTATGACCCTCCCCCTCCCCCTCATTAGCAGCTAATTCACAGTCCAACCCCCACTTTTAA